AATTTACTTCCTCTAGAAAGTTAAAACAGTTAACCCAACTGTTCTTAATTGTCATTTTCTCTCTTAATTATGGCTAGACCCCATTTTGAGGGCGACCCCCTTTATTTTGTTGCTCAATCTTTACTTCACCCTCCGACCAACCAACCCTTTTGAAATCCTCAATAATTTTCTAGCCGACCACCTAAGCCTTTTTCTTTTCTTTCTTTGCCCTATATCCATTTGCAAGCATAACAAGACTCTGTCTTCTCTTCAAGTCTCGAATTTTGTCTCAACTGATTCTTGGTGGCTGTCTGGTGGTGTAACTGCAATACTCAATGCTGTGTTTTTATTGCCTTACTTCCATTCCATGCCTCAAAGTATGTACTGGCATGGTCCAGAAAAGAAAACAAAACAAATCCTACAAGCTTTCTTAGCTATTCAATTATCCCACATGGTCCCAAATTCATTGCCTCTTATATTAAGATTTGGATGGATTATCAATGGGGTATAGCTTAATTAGTTAAACTCTTCTACCTCCACCCATATGGACAGACCCCTAAGCACCAATGAATATTTGTGTAAATCCTCATCCGATAGCTTGTACTTAAAAAAAAAGTTTTGGGTTATGATAAAGATTTAATCTTGATGTCCCAGTAACCCACTTATAAGATGAGTGATGTTGGGTTTTAGAGAAACTGTGACATAAACAAATAAATTGACTCAATTGACCCCATATTAATTAATCACCTCAAGAAAACCACGGGGCATGACCCCATTTTAGCAGAAATCACAGTCTGAAAATTTCCATCATTTTAAGTGCTTGATTAATGTAGCAGGTATCATCTTAAAGTATTTTTTATTGCAGTCCATCGTTTTTAGATGATGTAACATCCTCTAATCTCAATTTTCAACACTAGGGTGTTGCTTATTTTGCAATAGTACATATATTTATTTATGTTGGTTTATCTGCCTGCATGCTGTTATTTTATTTGAGATAGGACAAAAACTGAAAGAAGCTTTTGAGCTACAGCTTATGCCACCATAACTACTTATTCATCAGACCACACCACCCTCAAAATACAAAAAAAAAGTTCATGGGGAGAAAATGAGATATTATTTTTTTTATGGGTTATTATTATTCTTGGAGTGTACTATAATGAACAAGTTTAGGCTGAAAATTCATATAGAATACCAAGTAATTGCACAACTTGCCTCCCCAGACTAGAGAAAATTATATATATACACATAAAATAAATTTGTGTTAGACCCCACAACCGAAGCTAATTTTGATTTGTCTCATAAAGATTAGAGATTAATCCATGTATGAAACGTATTGGTGCATTATTGTATATTATATAACGAAAGAGAAAAAAGAAGGCAACCATAAACAGCAAAAAGTTAAAGAACCAGCTATAAGGGAGAGTGAATGAGTGAGAATCATGTGATGAGCCCCTCTCTCTCTCTCTCTCTCTCTCCCGCCGAATCAAAAAGCCATAAACTTTGTGTATATCCCAACAACTGAACAACCACCACCCTGTTTGTTGTGTATGTGTGTTTTGAGCTCTGAGAGTCTTTCTTGGTGTTGGTTGCCAATTCAATGGCGTCAAGCGCTTCAAGGTTCATCAAGTGTGTGACGGTGGGAGATGGAGCTGTGGGGAAGACCTGTATGCTTATTTGCTACACCAGCAACAAATTTCCCACTGTATGTTCTTTCTTCTTCTTCCAAAAGATCCATCTGGGTCTCTCAGTTTGTACTTCTTTCTGTCCCTTTTAGGTCGTTTTCCATTGTTTTATGTGTGTATGCATCTGGGTTTTGCAGCTTTTTTTGTGGTTTTCAAGATTTTATCAAAGCAGTCTCTCTCTCTCTCTCTAAGAAAATTGCTTGCTTTTCCCCCTTCCTTTTCCAAGTAATTTGATGATGTTCCTCTGTCAGATGAAAAGCAAAATACTCATTTCTTCTGCTTATCATCGATTCCTACAATTTTTACACCTTGAATTTTAATGCTTTTTCTGTTCATCAGGATTATATACCCACTGTGTTTGATAACTTCAGCGCTAATGTGGTGGTTGAAGGCACCACCGTGAACTTAGGCCTCTGGGACACCGCTGGTATGATATCTTTGACTCCCATGCCCAAATTTTATTTTCACATTATATACATGTGTTCCTTTATCTACTTTTTATTTAATTTTTAATGTCTTAAATTGAGCCTACTGTTTCAGAATATTTCATTTTGGCTTTTATCTAAAGATAGTGTTGCCAAATTTGGCTAGCTTGTTATATTACATCTTTCTTCAATTTATTTCACAGGGCAAGAGGATTACAATCGATTAAGGCCGTTGAGCTACAGAGGGGCAGATGTCTTTGTCTTAGCTTTCTCATTAGTTAGTCGTGCAAGCTATGAGAACGTGCTGAAAAAGGTGCATTCACCTGAAAATTTCTGTTTTTTTATATTCAAATGTTGTATTTCCTTTTATAATTTCTGACACACAATTTATTGGTCAGTGGATCCCTGAACTCCAGCATTATGCTCCCGGAGTCCCAGTTGTACTTGCTGGCACCAAATTAGGTAAGCTGAATTATTCTGCACTACTTTCGCTTACTAAATGCAGAGTGGAACTTGTTCTCTGGTTATATAGGTAGTTTTCTTGTTAAGTTGTGCTCATACTTCAATGTTTCCATTATGTTTCTTAAATCCTAATCTTTGTCGAGCTTAGAATCCTAGTTTTGTATTAAACATGTTATCAATATGCACAATGGATGATTGAAAAGATGCTGTCAGTGGTTTTGAGAGCAGGTAAAGTGATACTATTTGGTACATTTCATGTCTATTGATAACCCGACCTTAAGTATGAGATCCTAACTTGTTGAAAGGCAAAGAACCAGGAATGTTATTGATACAACCTTTTTTGTTTTAATCACGGATTGTCGGTATAAACCTGTTCATATGATTCTTTCTATAACAATGGTAATGCTAAGAAATATTAAATTAACTGACTATGCAGCATGCAGATTGTATTGGCAGTCATCTTGTAGTAACATGGAACTCGTAGTCATCATGTAGCATTATCTGCAACTAATGAATTGTTTCTAATGGATATGTAGATCTTCGAGAGGATAAGCACTATTTGGCTGATCACCCAGGATTGGTACCTGTGACCACTGCACAGGTTTAATTTTTAGTGAAGAGTTGCTTTGTGTATCATGTAACAACGGATAGCGTCACTGATTGTTCTTCTAAATAACCAGGGCGAGGAGCTGCGCAAGCAGATTGGTGCTTCATTTTATATAGAATGCAGCTCAAAAACTCAGCAGGTATGTATCAACTGGTATTTTATAATCTCATAACGCTAGTGAATCATTCAGTATATTTGAAGCTGCATATTTTGAGGAGAGAGTTGCATGGTTCTTTCCAAATTAAACCAACTAATCTTAGTATTCAATTGTCAAATTGATATGAGCAAGTGCGGCTATCTACAATTCATAAATGCTGGGCCATTGGATCTTGCCAGATACACATGGGTACCAAAAGATGTAACAGAAGTGAAATAATAACGAACGGAAAGTTGACACTGTGCCAGCATTTAGAAGATCCACAACTCAGCAGTTGTGTTTTCCATTCAGAAGAGTTTGACTGTTGAATCAACGGGATGTCAGTGTTTGTTTCTTGGGTATCCTTCCTCAATTCCTCAAACTAGTCGGTTGTGTCAACCTTAAGATTGGTCTAACAACTTCTTATTTGCATGGTGCCAGTTTCCTGATTTCTTAGGTTCTTAAGAATTTCTTGAACTTATGAATGATATTTTTCGTGCTATGAGTTATCTTTGGTGATGCGTGTGAGATCCTTCCAAAAATTACCATAGATTAGATGCTTTCACTGTCAGATTTTCCTCAAATGAGTCTCATCACTGAACACTCTTGCAATGCCCCCTACTTTCATGTATCTGTTGATCATGCTGTCAATGACCCTCTGATGCAATTGCAGAATGTGAAAGCAGTTTTTGATGCTGCGATCAGGGTGGTTATCAAGCCACCACAGAAGCAGAAGGAGAAGAAGCAAAAGGCACGTCAAGGATGCCTAGTGTGAGTACCTTCCTTTTGTTCATCTGCTTATATTTGAGATGGCTTTAGATTACATACTACATGATTTTAGATTAGCATTTTGCATCATATATATTCAATTCTATAGGTCATCCATCTTCCCAATTTGAACCATGGGTTTTTTTGTACATCATTACTGTGGTCTCGGCGAATATCATGAACTGAAGAGACCCTTTGTGGTTGAGTAAAAAGTCCTGTTAGTTTCAGGTAAAATTGGTTGGGATGTACACCCACATGGGCTGTGATCCACTACCTAGGATTTCTGTCAAATGTTCCATGTATATGCTCTTTAAATTTCCTTTATAGTTCAAATGTTTGTGTTTCTAGTTTCTATTAACATGACCCCTCTCAAAACTGCAGCAACATCCTTTGTGGAAGGAGGCTAGTGTGTCTCAAATGAAAACATCAACTGCCATCTTAATCATGATGTGCCAAAGTGCCAAGGATTCTCTCCAACAATTCTCTCCGAACCTAACTGGAGTTGATGCTGGCTTCTTTCTTCGTACTAGAATTTTTTAATTTCATATTACGTTATAGATAACAGGGAATGGATACCCCTCGTAACACCGATATTTGTTTATTAAGCTCATTGTAAAGAACTCAAGGTTAAAAGGGTTTACATTTGCAACAGGGAAGCTTTATTTGGAAAATTGTTGTGTCAAAATGATCTATTTGATTAGATAATTTTTTGGTAGTGACTTGGCGAAATCCTTATCATGCATGCATGGAAGTTAAGAGAGTCTCAGTTCTCAAATGGTTCCCATCTCTGAATCTACCGTCCACGTTCAGTTTTTTTTTTTTTTTTTTTTTTTGTCCCCCAGAAACCACTCTACCATTACGATGATGGAGCCAACACCGTACCTTGGTTCCATGGTCATGAAGACCCAAACCTACATAGATGCAACATAGGTTCACAGACGTGTAAAAGAGCTACGAGTTTGGTGGACGATTGAAATATAACAAAAATTAGAATACAACATAAAACCTCAGAACAAAACCATCCCATGAAAAAGAAAAGCTCAGGCAACAAACCACACACAGAAGCTTCTGTTCTGAGAAGACCAATATGGATACTTGGAAAGGTTGGCAAAATGGTAATATGGTACACATCTAATGCATTGAAGACCAGAAGGGGCACCAGAGCTTGCGTATGGGCAACACAGTATGTTTTCTAACTGTTAGAATATCTACAGAGCGGATCAGCATCCGCCCATAACAAATTTAAGGGGCAAACAGCTTGAAGAACCCACAGATGACAGATTCTTTTAAGATTACAACTGATACATCAAAGAGGAGGGGGTCGGAGACCATGAACAGGATCAAATAACTCACTTACCACCCATCCTCCAGAAGCGCACAGGCTAGACAATGACCTCAGGGGTTAGCAAATGCCCATCCTCAAAGCACTGGAAAAATAAAGAGACAGATAAATGTAAATAACTTGGAGTGGCATGAAAAGTAATGGAGAACTTTTTAATGATTTTGAAGGACAAGATGCATAAAATTTATTTCATTTACATAATTCAAGCTCTCTTTCACCAAATATCTTCTCCGGAGTCTTCTTGTCAACTATTTTCCGCGATTCAAATTAAGCAAAAGTTGTATTGTATCACAAAGCAATAAAGTTAATTTTCCCAATTCTCCCAGTATTTCCAACCGGAGGCAGCTGTCACCAATTTTTTTATATTAAAATATTATTAGACTAAATAACCCTATATTACAGAGAACAGTTAAATGACATGTTGTAATTGAAAAGTACTGGAGCAGAACAACAAAATGAGAGAGTTGATTGCAGAGGAACTCCTGCCTATGAAATCCTAAAAACATTTTATTTGGTAGGTTCTATTGGAGTGTCAGCAACTTGGTCCCTCAACTCAGGTTACCAGACCTTGCACACAGGAGTGAAAAATACATAATCAAAGACTTACAAGGTTTCATGAGTCACCCGATTTTGCCATTACACATGCCTATTTCCACGAGGATTGTTTGTAGCCATCCCACCCTCCTTCAGGTTCCTTCCGCTTAAAGGGGCCACCGAACATCCTTACATGCTCCTCAGCTAGGGCTTGTGAACCAGCAACAGATAGTTGCCGTGGGGCAAGGGGTGAAGTCACATCTCTCCCCTCTAAGTCTGGGCCTCCAGGCCCTGCATTGAGATCTAGCCCCTGCCTTCCCCATTTCCTAGTGCTCTCACCACTACTGTTATTACTACCATCAGGAAGATTAACAACATAGGGCCTTGGGTAATTGGAAGAAATCATAGCAGCAGGTCCTAACAATTGGGAGCGAGATAAGGAGCGAACCCGCCTGCAAATGCAGCTGAGGGCAGAGGAAAACTGCTCCCAAAAGGAAAGACTGGATATGGAAATGAAGTAGAAGGATAGGGTACTGCTGGAGAAGATGACAACACTGAACCCCTGTAGAGATCAGAATTAAACGGGTTGCTACCACTAGTGGGACCCAACATCCTTTGTGGTCCACCAGTTGCAACAATTGGGAATGGCTGGTCTCCACGATCTGACATAATTGAAGGAATTGCGACCGCAGAATACGTATTGGCTGGAGGAAACCAGGCGAAGTTCCCCACTTCTGTATTGTTCATCCTAAAACCAGAAAGAGGTGGTTGAGATGGCACACTGCTCCTGGTATGCTGGCTAAACATTGCTGGTTCAGCACTCAACTCCTCGACAACAGGTCCGTCATTCAAATCAAAATCCCTACGAAGACTAACTTCTCCATTGAGAGGTCCAGTTGATTTTACTGACAGGAGCGGGTTATCCATTCGGTAATTACCCATTTCAGAAGCCTCATCAATTTGGTTCAAATCAAGATCAAGGCCCCCTGAGCAGCGAACAGGTGCAATACTCATTGATTGATCACGCGCCAAATCATTATTATTTGTTGGGTCAGACCGCGAACATATCTCTTGAGCAGGACCTTGAGGAGCCATATCCTCAAGAATTCTTTCATCAGGTACATTCAAGTCAATGTCCAAAGCAGGGCGCCCTTGCTTGCCAGCTGTAGGCTCAAGAACTGAAATACTAGTACCCAGCAACATCTCTAGAGCTTTTCTGGGTTCAGCTGGCCGGAATGCACTCGTTGCTGCTGATCCCTTCCAACCAACCTCCCCTTTACTCTTCAACAGGTCCTCTGGTGGGATACAGGGGCCTTTTGCTGCAGCAGGCACCGTAACTGAAGCGGGAAGGCCACTAGACATGGAAGAAACAGCAAAAGGTAACGGGCTAATCAACTGAAGAGCAGTTGAACATCCAGGTGCTGTCAAGTTACTTGGCTCTCCATATTTCCCATCATCGGCATTAAATCCTTCATTCAAATCAAACTCCACTTTTGCATCTGCCTCTGCTAGCCCTGCAGCAGACACAGAAGAAGCATCTGCAGTTGTAGATGTACATTCGTCAGCTTCTTCTGCTTCCATGCTGGTCAACTTAGACCTCCTGGACCTCAAATGTTCTTCTACTTCTTGCATTGGAAGATCAGATGACACCTTTGAAAGAACAGGTTCACCAAGTTGATCATTAGCTTCTTTACCTTCCAAATTCTCCTCCACATGCTCATCGTCGTGATCAGTAACAGCAGAACTAGAGCCACCTACAGCTTGATTCTCAGGAATTGAAAGATCATTACTTTCTTTTTTTGAAGGGCTGGGGTCATTACTTTCTGGATCAGTTCTTTGATTTTCAGCCTGATTATGATGACCACAGTCATCTGTTTCATCAGCTTTTTCAGCCTTCAGTTCACTGGCTTTTCCTGAGATCAAATCTTTTCTAAAACCAGAAGAAAGCAGCACATCTTCACAGGTTCCTTTTACCAACTCAGAATGTCTCTTTAAAGTAGATGGTTTCTCCTCCGCCTGTACACTGCTGTCCATTCCTTCATAACGTAAATTTGTTATCTTACCATCAACATCTAACTCTGCGTGTAAGGATGATTCTTCAATGGCTTCTTTCCCCACTGCTACCCTTGAACTAACATCACTAACCTTATTTCCATTTGACAAAAGACCACTTACACCGCGTTTAATATCTGGAATGCCATCAGCACTCACTCCACCAATTATCTTTTTGTCTTGAAGTGGTTTACCATCACCCTCCATAATTTTCTCAACCGTACTAGGAGGGGAAGCAGTCCCAGACGGAGCTAAGCTAACTTCACTTGATTTTTCTTTGTTTTCTGGGGAGAGACCTGCAGAATGCTGGATACTTACACTGGAATAGTAAAGATTTCTAGTGTCCTCTGCTACAGAATTCTGTTCACACACAGAAGAAGATTTAACAACCCCATTCTTAGCCCCAGAAGTAGTGGATTCAAAACCATGCTTTTGATATTCGTCATCAGCACCATCATTAGACTGACTTTCGTCTCGAGCAAGCTCCTCAACAGGAGGTGATTTGACTCTGGAATCATTGCCTTCGCAGAGATGCTCAGATACCGGGGTGCTCCTTTGTGGAGAATCAGTTGGGGACTCAGATTTAGACATCTCTCCAGCAGCCACGCTAGCAAGCAGATTCATACCAAGATCATCTCCAACTAAGGCATTACCTTCAGAATACTTCACACAGCTTTCAATCAATGCATGCATAGAGCTGAAGGAAGCTTCCTGCAAGTTATCCGATTTTTCGTTCCCAGATGATGAGGAAGCAGCTTTCGGGACTTCTGCAATTTTCTTAGAGTTGTCACCAGCCCTACAGTCCTCTTCAGCAGTAACAGCAGCGGGGGACCCATCGCCCTCATCGGATCCAGTCAGTACATCTTTAAAATCATTACTTTGCCATGACTCATTGTTCACATCCGAAGTAACAGTAGCTCGATAAACATCAGCCTTTTCCTTTACGCTACGATCTAACTGATCATGCTTCTCCAATTGCATGGGAGATGAAGCTCTGCTATTCATATTTGAAGGATCTTCAAATGAACCTCCACTGCCACTTTGTGCAGGACTGCGCCCACGGTTTGGAATCTTTACAATCAATTTGTGACTATTCCCCTCAGCAGCAGACCCATCAAGTACCTTTTCACTTGCCAATCCAGGTTGGGATGATTTTTCTGGAGCTGGACTCTTGTGCAAGGATGAACTTCTGCTTGACACAGTTTCTCTTTGAACTCCAGAAAGGGCAGAGCCTGGGAAGCCATTTATTGATTTCCGAGGGCGTGAAGAGCCACCTGATATCTTATTCACATTCATTGAACCAGCAGTAGAGCTCCTCGCATCCTCTTTCCCAGACACACCTCCTGTTCTAGCATGATCATTCGAACACGATTGACTGTTGTTGTGAGATTGACTAGAACTGCTACTTTTCTCATCCCTTGGAGTGGTCAATGGAAGATCAACTGTGACACCAACAGCAACAATTCGGGACTGTCCATCTTTTAGGTTAGAACTTGCTGACACTGGTGATGGAACCGATTTAGATCCCGGAGATGCAGAAGCAGATTTGGTAACACTATCTCCTTGGACAAGCTTAACTGAAGCAGATTTGGATACAGAAAGCTGTGTGACTGAGCTCTTCACAGCAACATCAGTGGATCCGCCTGAATGCCTGTTTCCACCATTAGAAGCTTCAGAGAGGCGTGGTCTTGCAGACCAGGAGACAGCCGGATTTACATTAGAATTTGCATCCATTTCAGCTTGAACGCGTTTCTTCCATGTATCAACTAAGCTTCTTGCTTTCTTCTGAATTTCCAAGTTCTTATGCGTCCGTAAGTGATTTACAGACTTTCCAAGGTTACACATTTGCAGAGCATTGAGATTAACAGGCAGCTTATCCAGTGCCCGAAGTAAAACCAAGAGAAACTCTTCAACAGATTTGTCGCTATCTTTGGCTCCGCTGCCATCACCTATCTTCCCTTTATGGACCTCTTGGAGCCATTCATCATATACTGGCACACCCTTGAGCTGCACAAATTGACTCAGGCAATCAAATTTATCTGTGGCTGCTACAACACTAGCAAGCATTGACCGGCCGGCCAAGTCTATTTTTTTCTCATTTCTATCAGGCAACATGAGCTGCAACAATTTCTCAACCCCTTCAGAATCTACAAGCCCTCCTTTATCTGTTATTTTAGCAATTTCAGATTTTAAAATGCTTTCCTGTCTACTGTGAACGGAATCTCCATCCTCCATTTTCGTAGTACGTTCTCGTTTGACAGGCTCAGAGCCCTGGTCCCCCCGCTCCCTTTTTTTCCCTTTAACTTGAGAAGAAAAGGATGAGGCACTATTCTGGACACCATCTGACCCGACTTTTAACTGTGATGCTGATGTTGGACCATTCATTGGTTTGGGAGATCGACCACCAGACTGCACAGTTGCATGCATCTCTACTCGCGTTTTGTACAACAATTGATCTACTTCCTCTTGTCGTTCCTGTCAGAAGAAATGATATCAACTACTCTGAATGTTTAGAAATACGAGCACAACACAAAGATGCAGAAAGGATCTAAAACTCACATTCATATAGTCCTGATCAGTTAGCCACCATAAACACTTATTTGTGATGTCGTAAACACGCCGGCACACAAAAGATGAAATCCCTGTCGGAAGTTCAACACCTTTAGCAAGGAATGCAACTTTACACGGATGAAGTAACGATGCGGCAGGAATCTCATCCTTATGGAAGGAATAAAAAATTTCATTCAGCGCAGCATCCAACAGGACGCCTTTGCCAAGCTTTATTTCAGAAGGTCGATAAAGCCAATTTACACCCAATTTTAACTTGTTCTCTCTGCTTAGAGTCACCCAACGAATTATTCCAATGAAAGGTGGGGAATCCTGGGGGGGTTTGAAAAGTGCACAATCACCAACACTGATCTTGCGTCCGTCCTACAAAAATAGATTAGTTTAGAGGACCATTATGCTGGTCTGACTGAGCAAACACATGCAGACAAAATGCAGAACATCTTCAATAATCAATATACATGACAAAGGACGTTCAGAAACATATAACAACCAGTAACAGTATACACTTAACACTTTCATCATACCAAATGAGCAGCCATTCTCATCATACCACCCAAAACTTTCAAAATTCTAATATCTTAGCAAGAACCTAGGCTGATCTAGGACAAATGCAAGCGCTGACCCCAAAATCTTAAGGGAAGACAGAGATTCCCTTTCCTTTACTCAACCTATAAAAAGTAAAAAATACTTTCTGGAGTTCATTTAATTGAAAACTAAGTCCAAATTTGTTACTAGAGTCAAATTTACACGGCCCACAAAATCTTCTGCAGGTATAACACTACCCCCAGGCATCACTTCCATTCTTGCTCCCCCCACATGAGGGAGCATTTTCACAATTAATCTCTAGGACACATACTTTCCTCAACTTTCAAATGCGAAATTAAAGAAAGAAAACAGAACTACCGTAATATCAGAAAATGGGATGCTTTGATGTTCCTTCTAGACAAGAGCCATTAAGCTGAGAACAGGGAAAATAAATAAAGCACTATTGCGGCAAAATTCAAAGGCCAGATAATCATGAAGTGTTCTCCACTTAAAAATAATAAAGGAAGCAAAACTATTGACCACATAATTTCATTGAACCTATTACTTGCCATAGTGATCTGAATGAATATATATTAAAACAGATAATTCAAAAGGCTACCTGATTAGCTGATCTACAAAACACATACATACAGATGAAAGGGGGCGGGGGGGAGAGTTTTCAACAAAATATCCATTACAATAAAAATCAATAGCTCAACAACTGCATAAAAAATCCCGTCATATGAAGCAGGGATTTAATTGAACCCACAAAAGGTAACACTTCTAATTGGCACCAAATTGACATTCTTCCCAAAAACCACCATAATTCCCACTCAGCATACCGAACACCCCTCCCTCAGGATAGAGATCCTTGACAACCACAAATAGGAAATGAATTCCAACTTTGCACCTTCCCTTGTACGATCCTCTCTCTAATTTCACAAACTGGTTGCATTTGCTAATTTTCATATCTAACAGGCTGGTTCTCTCAGCTATCTATCCCCAAGTCAAAACACTCTCATCTTTACACAACATCAAATCCATATATGTTTTTTGTATTACAAAACAAGCAAAATACCAAGCAATTCACGGAACCCCACTTCACTTCTCCACTGATACACACCCCGTATCACACAAAAATCACAAGTCCCACAAACCATTATCCGCAAAAACACGGAACAAATCGAACAGATACCCAAAATCACAATATATTAGAAAACACCAAAAAAATCCAAACCTTGAAAAACGAATTGGGCGAAGACGAAGATGATGAGGAAGAACCATCGGCGACGGATACACGCGTGGGGACTGTCAACATGTGCCGACCCCGTTTCCTCTCCTCACCTCCCCTCCCATGCATAGCCTTGCATTTTCCCCACTCCCAGTCTCGATCCCACCTTCAATTCCAACAAGTACCATCAATATCACCCCTTAATTCCCTTCAAAACCCCTCCTTTTTCACGCTTCTTCACCAATTCGCCCTCTGCGAAACCCTGGATCGACCATCTCCGCTAAAACGAAACCCTAATTCCCCCCAGACGAGTATAAATACAACGAAATTCTAAATTTCAAATCGATTTCTAACAATTTGATGATTCTATACACCGAGCGATCGATCTAATTGAAACTCAGATCCAACGACAAGTCCAGATTTTGAGCCGCCTTTCGATCTAAAGAGAGAGAAGTTAGAGAGAGAAAATCGAAGAGAAAGAACCAGACGGCAAAAAGAGAAGGTGTACTTGGTACTTGGTAGAGAGCAAGCTGCAGGGTCGGGCAGGCGGGCAGATTGGGCAGTCCGGGCAGGAGAATTATAACTTCACCCACGGGTGAGGTGACAGAAACAATGTGCCCCCAATATTTATAGAATTAGAATATGTGACTGGACTAGATTTCACTGCAGCTCTGGAACTGTTGGCTGAGATTGTGTTGACCCAAATGTGCTCTCATTTGACTTTGAATTTTCTGAGATTTCTTGGGCACCATCTGCCTGAGAGTATTGATTACTCTGTGACTCAAAAGTGAAAAACTTTTTTGTGTGTGTTTGTTTTTTTTCTTTTTCTTTTTCTTTTTTGGGTATTTTATTCAAAGGAGGTGAGGGGCAGTTTGGGAAGTGAGGGAGGATTCTGACTGAAGAGGGCAGAAGATGATGATGGCTTGGATGGGGCCAGTCAAGCTGTCATGGAAGGGTATAAATGTAAGTTTGGGGTAACAGCAGCAGCATTCACTTCACATGAGGGCCTATGATGGACAAGTTAAGGTTGTCTTGTGTTGTTCCAACACACATTACTAAAAGCAAGGGGAAAAGAAGGGGAGGAGAGAAGGGGTGATGTAAATGTTTCTGTCTCTCTGCCAGGAAAATATATTGAATTGATTGATTTTTCCTGAGCTTCTTGCTTAAGTAAGCATCACCCACTGCACCCTGCCCCTCCCTGCCTACTCTGCTCTCTGTCTATAAAAATCATGTGGCCTTTGCTTGTTCCTATCTGCCTTTTTAAGTTTTCATTTTGTATTATCCTTCTGCTACATAAATAACCTGTTAAGAGGTTTTGTTTTCTACTTTGAACTTTTGTTGACAATGGAATTTTTTTAACATTGTATTCGGGCCAAGTTATTTAACAGTGATATATTATTCGATATATGTTGTTCACGTGTGTTATGTTTAAGTAACATTATATATATGGGAGCGTGTGAAGATTGTAAATCTCACGGAGAATTAGTCTTGGATAAGAAATTAATACACATTCTAACATTTGCATCTGAATGATCATCCTCTTGTTGTCATGTAAGTCTCAACTTCAATTTTCACATAGTAGGTTGGCAAAGAGAATGAACATAGAAATAAAAATAAGAAACCGATATAAAATTGAAGAAAATAATGAGAGAGTAGGCAATCACCATCATTGTTGGTTTTTAAAACCGATATTTCATTAATATAAAGCAATTCAACAACATTGGGGTCGTCTAATTCTCAATTTTAGTTTGTTTGCCTGGCAACTGTATGAAGGACCATGTTGGGCCTGCAGTCTTGGGTTAAAGTATGGAGAGAGCAGAAATAGGCAACAAGTATTCTCCTATATTTGTTGGCCCCTGAAAATTAGACATGGGATCCATGAAATGAAACTGTATATGCAAGGGACATTGAAGAAAATGTGATGCAGAAATTCGAGCCAGAAAGCCACTGGAACAAATAGTATTCAATTATTTGCTAACAAAGCCATCGTAAGACTATATCAGAACACAAAGACAACCATCATAGATTCTAAGAAAAGATTACGAGTTGTCCGCTAATCCGTAAAAACATTAAATCACTACGAGTTTCTAGTCCTACAAGGAGAAAAAGGGCAGCATTGGCTGTGCACAAACATAACAGTGCTTCTGGAGATGGAGAATGTGTAAGTTATCACAAAGCATTTATCATTTTCTTCATCTCAGCACTCCTCCTGGGATCAGGTTCTTCAATTGCTCTCTCAGTCAGAACATGCTTGATACGGCACATTGACTTCCTCACCTGAATTTCATGATGACATCAACAAGAAGAAATCAGGATGGCAACAGTATATCCAAGTAGAAGACACAAAACTCGACCACAACAACAAAGTAAAGTTCGAAAAGTTCTTTTTTGGAACCACTCTGAAGCAGCCAATTTAAACATAATCGAAAAAGAACTTTTGCTTGTCCAGCAGTTAAACATAACTGAAATGCAAGTGGCATCATCCGAACATAGATGCATAAACTCTAATACTCAAAAAGCAGAGAATCTAATGTTAAGAAATAGTTTGCTGCAACATGGTTCTAGCACAAGCATAGCTTATTGACTTCCTTAGAGTTTCAAACTTCCATATAAAGTGCAAGCAAAATATATGGATATCACACAACATACTGAGCAAGTAGACAGAAAAATATTGAGAAAGTCAGAATTAGGAGTTGAAAACACGGAAAGGTAACCAGTTTTCATGCAAACAAACATTTTTTAAAAACTTCCCAAGCATTTGTTCGTCAGAATAATACAAAAAATGGTTAAAGAAAGGGTCATACTTTGGGAAGGCGCTCAGGATTAGGAAACCGTAGATTCTGGGCCTGAAGCATCTGCCGTTGAGTCATCAGCATGTTTTTCTCCTTAAGCAGAACAAACCATAGCTTATTGAGATCATCCCAGGACTTCAGACGCAGTTCAGATGCTTTCCAACTTCGACCTGACAGCAAAAGAAGTATTAAAAATAGGATCCATCACTGAATCAATACAGATTGCATCAGACAGACAGTAATGCATTGAAGGACATGGCATCAGAATATCAAAATAAGATTGAGATTATGTAACTTTTTCCCAGAATGGTTTAAACAATACGGAAGGATAGTGGTTAAGAAGAGGGTAATAAAAAAACCACTTTAAAAAGTTAACATCAAGTGCAACGTATACCGAGTAATAAGGAATATATTTGTGGGGTTTCAGTACAGAACTAGTAAGCAATGAAACAATTAAATGAAGCAGCTGGGACACTTTCCCATTGACCTCCATGATTGATTCTAAAATCTCTTGCAATGTTGAGTGTAATAACATTAAAATCATAATGGGAGCACAACATTTTTCCGTAACTCAAATCTTTCTAAACTCCCTCCAGTTATAAATAAAAATATTTTGGCACATTGTAATCAGCATGTAACTGGAATTCCAGACCCAAATTGTCGTATTTGCAGTTCTAGAATCATATTAAAGTCAGCTTCTTTCAACATAAATATGATAGTTGACAACGTAATCAAATACACAAATTCATATGGGTAATGGACAGCCAGAAACAACGGAAATGAATGGTATGTACCGTAGACAACTGGCTTTTCTTCATCTTGGCTTCTATCTGCCTCAAAGAACTCCTCAAGAGGGTTATGTCCCGTCGTCCTAGCTGAAGCAGCTGCAGCAGAAGTTTCTGATTTAGCTACAGAAAAGAGTGTTCTCCTAAAATACCTTGACACCATCAACATTGTGTTTAGATTGCTGCATAACAAGGGAAGGGGATCAGAAAACAGAATGAGAACAAGCAGAAACTCATAGTTGGAGCACAAGGCGCATCGCATTCGTCGTTAACCCCCCACCAAAAAAACTCATTTGGGTATCTTTCATTTGGGCATTTTCACAAACACAAAGGTTGCCATTTTCAGAAATTACTGAAGCATGACAAAAAAACACATCCAAGCAGTCAAAAGCTGCTGTGAAGCAATATAGACATTTGGCAAAACGAAATATGAAGAAAACCCAGCAACCGCTTACGTGTGGAGGTTGATTGCGGCGTTTTGGGGGGCTCCCGATAGTGGGTCGTGGCGGATGAAGCTTGAAGACAGAAGGGTGACTCTGGCTATGGAAATTTCAGAGCCTTTCTCGTCATTTGGGCATTCGGGCAATTGGGTTTAATATGAGTGCCGAATATGCCTCAGCCCATTGCGTGAGACTAAAACCAAACAAGACAATAGAAAGTCACAAGAGCCCAACAAGCAAAGGCCTAAATGGCCTACAACTAAAGCCCATGTAATATATTTTCCAATTATTAGTTTTTATTTTATTTTTTGGGTACAGTTATTAGTTCAAAGTTTTGGGTAACTGAATTATTAGTACCTTAGTTTTGGGTGTGTGAATTTCATGAAAAGAAGTGCCTAAAATTCTTTAGCAAAGATTATTTGGTAGATTCTCTCTGGTTCTAGTGAAAAATAAGTGGAGTATACTGTTATGCAGTAGATTTCACACAAATTATATCAAAGCTTAGTACGGATCGCACAGAACCGTCAAACCTGTCATAAATCGCAATTCAATTTTCATATCAATAATGTAAGTTACAATATAGGGACAAGAATATACTGGCTTCTTTTTCTTCCTTGTGGTTCTAATCTAATTGAAACAGATAAAGTCACCACTAACCCTAATGAAAAGGGAAATAAAAAGAAGAGAGTGAGTGAGTGAGAAAGAAAAAGCACCAAACAGTCTCTCTCTTTACAATCAAAAAAGGTCTAAAAAGGGCAGATAAATTTGCCATCATGCAGGTGGTCCCCGCATGGATGCTAGGGTTTTGGGTGATCTGAGTATCTCCTAAAGAACTCTGATGGCAACACCCACGTTCTGTCCCTTGTTTTTTCCTCCATGCACCTTTTCTCTTCTCTCTTTCTCACCCCTCCCAATTCAATAATGTTCATCATTACCCTCATACTTTCTCGTATTTACATCATTTTTAAAATACCATAGGCCAGGATTGTCCCCAACTTTCTCAATCTTAATCTTCAATTAAGGTTAGGTGGTTTGAACCCTTTTTTTAAAAAGCTCCTACCAATATGATTTTGACATGTCCTTACAGCATACAAAGAAAAAGACAAAATTACCCAGCTCCATCTTAATCTTATACATATTCCCAAAGTTCAATTACTTTCTCTAATTTTTTTTTTCCCATGAAAACTTTTTTATAATTTTGATAAATTTAGTCGTGGACCAATCAAGATGTCCACTCATCTGTCAATATGGCATAATTGAAGCTATCATGTGGGCGCAGGAAATTTGAGGTAATATAATGATTGATGACAAATATTTTAAAAACATGGTGTAAAAATTACTTATCTTTTTCAATCTTTGGATTTAGTTAAAGCACAAGTCTGTCCTTAATCTTCGCAATCATGATGCCACATGAAATAAAGACTTTATTTTTTTACCCAAAAAGGCTTTGGCTCCCCATCTTTTTCACTAAAATATTGTTGTCAGTACTCAATACCTCAAATAACGGCAAATAAAGACAGCCACTATTCACATGAGATATAAAGAAAAAAATTTGTATAGAATTTTTTTGTGAGAAGTGAAAAACATGGCTAAGTATTTATAAATAAATAAAAATTATGAAATTTTTGATATATTTTTTAAAAAAGAATTTAGTATTTAAATTGGTCGTTGATGTCATGCTGACATCAACAAACCCAAACAGCAGCCCAAGCTGAGCTAGCCTTCACCGTTGGAGTTCGTTTTTGGGGGTTGGGGGGCCTTCTACTCGTGCTGGCATGCATGGCTGGAAGCGCTTTAATGGTCCTTTTGTGGCTAGTGGTTTTTTTAGCTAAATTATGAATGCAATCATAGAATTTCTCAACCAAATAAAAAAAATCAATATTAGCCATCGTTCAATATGTGGCTAATGACAGTGATAATAGAAAATAAAGTAAACTTACACAACAGACATTGGGTTAGAGTATCTCTTGGAGAGTCTCTAAATTTTAACCAAATTCTAACTAAAATAGCTAGAAAACTATATAGCAAACCACTTAAAAAGTGTTTTCTCCAGCAATATTCTCTATTTTAACTAATCTGAAATTGGTTCACTCACTCTTGCACTCATTTTAAAAAACTTTTTTGAACCGTTGGATAATCCAACGGTGGGTGACCACAAATCTCTTGGACCCCTGTGGTCCAAGAGATCGAGACTGTCTAAAATATTTGGCTAGAAAACTTCTCTCTTCAATTTGGCGAGCCTCCATTTCCCTCTCCTCCTTGCTAGATATAGAGAGCCACAAGTTTGTTCTCCAAAATAGAGAGCCAAGTAAGGAATCTGCTGGAAGAAGAATTTTCCTTCTTTTTAGCCAAAACATCTAGGAATAAGAGGATAGGGAGTCTGCTGTAAATGCTTTTAGTTAAGTTGGCTAGTGTCTAGATTCTAGGCCCTAGAGCGGATATGCTTTTCACTATGCATCAAAATTCGAATCACCTCTTCATAGTTCAAATGAAATGGAAATAAAATATAAATATGGTATGTATTAAAATAAATAATTAAAAAAACCTATGTATTAAAATAAATAAATAAAATTTAAAAAAACCTACGCACACAAAAATATTTCTTTGCGTAAATTCAATTTCTTATTTCCTTTTTTGTTGGTAAATACAATCAAAGCCTCACATTATCTTTTTTCACCACATGATGTGCTACATCCCAAAAACACATTTCATGTAACGAATAAGATCAAAGTGAATAGTGCCAAAAAGAAAATAGCACATTCAAACAAAAACAATTAGTGTTTTGAGGGTCGAGGAGGATCAAATATATTTGACTTTCAAATAGACCTCTGTCGTTCTCTACAATCTCTGTTCTATGTTTTCTGTTTTACTCCCACAATTAGCTAAAACTTCTCTGGTACAAAAATATATTACACGTGGTCCGAATATGTACATACAAAAAGCATGTTTTTTTTGACCAATCACGAAGTGTATGAAATTAGAATTTGCACAGGGGAATATATAAATATATATAGATACGTCTGGATGTTATTATTATGCGGATATTGTGTATTTTGTATTAACCCTCTAAGCTTTCTTCTATGTTTATTACAGTGTCTGGACGATAATAATGCGAGGACGTTTAGATGAAAGAATAACTATATATATGGAACAGAAAATCCAATCGCAATATTCTTATTTTGATTGTCTTGGGTTCACTTCTCTACCTGCTCTACGATTGTGACCCATGTAAATTATATAGATAATGATCAACAGATAAACTTGAGAATGAATGCAACAGTTGATGAGTTGGACTGTGACTTGTTTTTGCTTAATACACAATGACAATTAATTAATTAATTAATGTAAGATTAATCAGTCAGATTTAGCATCTCCAGAGTTGTGGCTGCAAAGGATTTGGACTTTTGAGATTACCTAACCTACCTTGTCCCAAAAGACAGAAAATCAGGAAAAGAGAAGAAAGGGTTATGTGCCAATTGGGAGCTGTGGGTGGGCTTGCTTGAAAAACAAGAAAGGAAAAAAGAGAAGGAAAGATAGAGAGATAGAAAACGAGGAGGAAAATTGGTAGAGGAAGCCAGTTGGGATTGTATTGGGAGTGAATTGCGTATATGTTTGTTTAGTGAAGGGAAGGGACAGAAAAGCAGGGATTGGGGTAGGGAGATTTTGACTGATGAAGAATTTTGTCGGCTGTTCTTTCTTTCACTATTGGCTCATGCTTTGGGCGCCCATGTGATCATTCTCTTTCAACTCCCCAAATTACCCCTACTACTATACTTGTTGCTTTTCTGGGATCAAATCATTTTTATCACAAAACGTTTCCAGTGTTTGCAAAACCACTAGTAGGTTGATAAATTTGATCGTGAATCAACCAATATATCTACCAATAAGTGGAGGGTCGGAAATGCTAAGATCAGGCCAACGTCACTAAAATTGGTTTTTCCTGTTAATGAGGATTACAAACTAGTAAGTTTACAAGGGCTCTCTATAATAATTGCAATAAGAAAAAAACCTATCCACGAACAATTCAAGGTGCACGATATTTCATTTCAATTTTCATTCACACTTGTTCACTTTTAAATTGCGGATGAGTTCTTTGTTCGTACTACATCATTGCTTTCTTGCTTGTTAGCTGAATGACTCGTTTCGTGTCAATCTGTTAAAGAAAACGATATGTTATACTTTTATATTTTCGTAAGGGGTATTAACGTCTTTCAATAAATTAGCAAATCTCGGTGCATCATCTGGGGATGTTGGTAAATGGGAATTTATATTGTCAAGGAAGTTACCTTTATCTGATTTAACGCAAACTCAAACGGTGTCGTTTTCTCCTGATCGTTCATGGCTTGACAAGTATCATTTCAACCACGGAGTTTTAAGAGGTTCGCTCTGGCTTTTTGCACAGCTGAACCACACTGAGAGAAACAAACAAAGAAACCTCCAAAAATGAAACTAAAAACATAAACTTTATTAAAAAATAAATAAATGGTTTTCTGCTAAGCTCAATAAATAAGGTTTGGTAGGGTGTATTTTCTTGTTAGAAGGGAATGTGTAGTTAGTGTGTACAGTGTAGCTCCCAGAGAGAGAGAGAGAGGGAGACTTTCACCTTGTAGAGAGAGAGAGTCAAGAATACAAAAAACTTTTTTGCTGCTCTGAACATTTTTTTGGTATTTCATAACTCACTCGCTTCCCGTTTTATCATATTTACAGTCACACCTCTTGTACCGCCTCTTAACTGTGTTTACATATTGTGATTTTGCTCAACTAAGCACCTGGATTTGCCTGACTCTCTCTCTCTCTACCCATTTTGCGTGAACAGCTTTTGGGTGTGGGGTATATGGATTTTTGACTTTAGAGAGAGCTTCCCCTGCTTTCATATTTGGCTTTTGCTTTACTTCAGCTGCTAGTTAAAAGGTGCTTTTATATGTGCTTATATTTTTCTGAATATTTTCTTGTGCAATTATTTGTGCTCGCTTCGTGAAGCTTCCGGTTACACTATCATTTTGTTTTTTCTTTCTTATTCGCACAGTTCCCATCTCTATTATTTGGTAGTTTAGTGGGCATACATGTGAGTGGTTCAATCTTTTCGGTCATCACACTGTTGACTGTTTTTCCTGCTTTCAGCTCATTTTAGAGGGTTTTTGCTAGATTCGGGATCTGGGTTTTGCTTAGATTTGAGCTTCATAGTTGTTTCTGGTGTTTTTTAGTGAGAGAAAGCAAGCTCTAGAGGAATCATGGCAGGTGGAGGAGGAGGAGGAGGAGGAGGAGGCGGTGGAGCTCCAAAAGTAGATGAGCCACAGCCACACCCACCAAAAGAACAGCTCCCCAACATTTCTTACTGCATTACAAGTCCACCTCCATGGCGTGAGTACCTCTAATCCACATTCAATGATTGTTTTTCTTCTTTTCCTAATTTGGATTCTGAGCTCTTGTTCCCTTATTTAACGATAGTGTAAGAGTATTCATGGTGGATCTTAGTTTCTAACTGTGATTCTTGTGGATCTTTTTGGCATATCTCAGGCAGGTTGTATATAATTTTCTTCTTTAATTTAATTTATTTTGGATACGAGATTCATGTATTGAATTGTTGAAAGTAGCTTTTCTTTAGTTATCTCTTTTTCTTTGGTAGATACCGCTTTTCAGAAAGGAAATGAAAAGTTGAAATTCTATCCTTCTTTTGTTTTTCTTTTTTGATTGCCTTTCTGGGGGGATTTATTTGAATCTTTTTATATATATTCTGTTAATTGCTTAGTTATCTATTCTTTGCCTGTGCAGCTGTACTGATTAAGTTTTGTACTATTTTCGTAACCTGCCATCTTGTTTGCATTAGGCGTAACCTAAGCTATGTGCCCAACTCTAATTTGGTGGGAACCCATTTGACTTTTGTTTATTGGGCACCTGTAAAATTCTCTCATGGCTCTGGTTTCTCGTTACTCTTTGTCCCTTTGGCAGAGCTTTTCTGTCACTCTTTGGTAATGGTGCTCTAAGTTCTGTTTGACCGTCTTCTGTTTAGGAAATTTAAATTGAATATGTTGTGGCATTGCAGATATTGGGTAGTTTTGATTTTTAATGTAGTTGAGCTTCATTACTCTTAACTCATGTCGTTACTTCATTAGCTAGTCATGAATAATTGAACAGTGAAATAACAAAATCTTGGGCCATTACTGGTGCAGCCGATGCCATTCTCCTTGGTTTTCAACATTACATTGTCATGCTTGGAACCTCAGTTCTCATTCCCAGTGCTCTTGTTCCCCAGATGGGAGGAGGAAATGTAAGACCTGAAGAACTTATTGCTTAAATTCTAATTGACGTCAACCAAATATTGTGTTTTTCTTCAAATTTGACCACCTGATATATGTATGTGTCTCTTACTACTGTTATAGGAGGAGAAGGCCAAGGTGATCCAGACCCTACTCTTTGTTGCTGGTTTGAACACATTGCAACAGACATTGTTTGGGACCAGACTACCAGCAGTGATTGGCGGGTCGTATACGTTTGTCCCCACCACAATTTCAATCATATTAGCTGGCCGATTCAGTGATAGTGACGACCCTATAGATGTTTGTTCTGAAACCCATCCTCTTTTTACTTGGTAGTCATTTTATAAAACTTAGTTGTTTGTCATTTGGTGCGCAACATATGATATATCAGGTAACAGTAGTTGTTTTTGATTATCTGTCATATGAACTTGCTGAAGAGCATCCACTGATAATTCTCATTCTCATCTGCACAGACTTGGCTGTAGGGCTTATGACTATGTTTTGATGTCTTTCATTTCAGAAATTTAAGAGGACAATGCGGGCAATACAGGGTTCTCTTATTGTTGCTTCAACTCTTCAGATAGTCTTAGGCTTCAGTGGCCTTTGGCGTAATGTTGCAAGGTTGGTTCTAAATAAATGAAAGTCAAATTTGGTGGTTAGAAAGATTAGTCTAGAACTTGTCAGATTTGTACTGAAACATTTCAGTTTTCTCCATTAAAGTCTGCAAAGGAAAACAAAACAAGAAAAATACTTCACTGGGATTATTTTCTTGTTAAGCTTAAAAATTCATGGTGGTTAAAACTTTTCAGTTTTATATTTTTCTTTCAGGTTTTTAAGCCCACTTTCAGTTGTTCCCTTGGTAGGTCTAGTTGGTTTTGGACTCTACGAGTTAGGTTTTCCAGTGGTAAGTGTTCTTCTTAGATGTGTATGTATGCACACATATACGGTGAATAACGTCCTCACAGTTAATCTTGATGCTTTTCCTGGATATTTAGCTTGCCAAATGTGTGGAGATTGGACTGCCAGAGCTTGTCATTTTAGTATTTGTTTCTCAGGTAATGGTCCTTAAATGTGTGATATGTTTAAATCCTTGTTAAGTGTCTTGCCTTTGTGCCTTCTATCATTTTAACCTTGTGGAAAAATTATTCTTGTAACGCTAATATTGTTTTTGCAATGATTGTGATGCAGTATATGCCCCACATAATTCACAGAGGAAAACCCATATTTGACCGTTTTGCTGTCATATTTTCTATTGTGATTGTATGGATTTATGCTCACCTACTCACTGTTGGTGGAGCATATGATGATGCATCCCCAAAAACACAGGCAAGCTGCCGAACTGATCGTGCTGGACTTATAAATGCTGCTCCATGGTTAGTGTGAAATGTGTCCTTAATATAGTTTTAACACTTTTATTGTTGTAATTCTTCCTTTTCTCACCATTGTATAGAACTCTAAAGCAAAATCTTTGGTGGACATGGAATTATTAAACTGAAATTTCCTTTTGTTATTCTTTTTAAAATAGGCTCCCAAACCATGCTAGGAAGTTTAGACATACTATGACATTTCCATCCTTTATCACCTTCGTTAAAATGTAAATATTTATTCACCATCATGGCTTATGTTCTGGATTGGTACCAAATATTTGTTGGATATGAATCCTTATTGGAACTTGGGTTTGCAGGATAAGAGTTCCATACCCCTTCCAATGGGGAGCACCTTCATTTGATGCTGGTGAAGCCTTTGCTATGATGGCGGCATCTTTTGTTGCTCTTATTGAGGTTTGTTCTCTTTAATTCTCATTCTCTTAAATTGGTAATAATTGATAAGCCAAAATTCAAAATCATTATTGCTTTTGTTTCCAACACTACCCGTTCATTTTGTTTTGACCCCTTAAAGGTTGCCTATTTCTCACATATTTGTAATGATAAAACAGTCCACTGGTGCTTTCATTGCTGTATCAAGGTATGCTAGTGCAACTCCAGTGCCACCTGCTATTCTGAGTCGTGGAGTTGGTTGGCAGGTACAAAAGCTTCTCTCTTTCCAACGTAGACTTTGCTTCTGCACGAACTTCTGTGATTTCCACTTGAACTTCTTGATTTTGCTTCCAAACCTGAACATTTCATCAATCTATCAATGCTTTCCTTCTGTTATTTTTATTATTATTTTGTATTTGGTGGGGATGGTTCCTTAACAACTTGTTTAGCTGGCTTTTCTGTAAGATTGATTCTTATCAGCAATAGAAAATGCCGTTGTATTTTCATTGTCTGCATATGGAACAGTTTTGCGTGTTGAATTTTGGCAAAGATCATGCTCTCCCAAAACACTCCTGCACTCCTTTGTGGGAGCACGAATAGTGCTCCCCTTTTCCAATTGTAAATTAACTGTATAATTTCTACTCTCAGGGAGTTGGCATTCTGATTTCAGGCTTGTTTGGAACTGTGACTGGATCCTCAGTATCTGTGTAAGACTGTTAATAGGGAACGTTTGTGCTGTTTAAACATCATACTTGTATTAAGTGGAAAACAGAGTTTCTACCTTGTTCTAAGACTTCCCTTTGTCTCTGAGCAGAGAGAATGCTGGTCTTTTGGCCTTGACACGTGTTGGTAGTCGAAGGGTTGTGCAAATATCTGCTGGGTTCATGATATTTTTCTCCATTCTGGGTAAGTTGTTAACTTGTGAGATATTCTCAATTCAATGTACATTGTAATTATTGTTATGCTGGCAATTGTTAGCGACTGTTATTATTACTCATCATTTCATCATTGTACAGGCAAATTTGGAGCGGTCTTTGCATCAATCCCAGGGCCCATCATTGCTGCTTTGTATTGTCTTTTCTTTGCTTATGTTGGTATGTGCAGCTCATTCATCGTGTTAACAAGCAGACATGTGGGCGGCTGATTGACTTTGTTATCAGATTTGTTATATGATATATTCCATTTCATCATGCATCCACAGGTGCTGGAGGCCTTAGCTTTCTTCAGTTCTGCAACCTGAACAGCTTCCGAACAAAGTTCATATTAGGCTTCTCTATCTTCATGGGACTGTCTGTGCCACAGTACTTCAATGAATACACAGCTATCAAGGGTTACGGTCCAGTCCACTCAGGAGGAAGATGGGTATGCACCAAACATCAAACCCGGTGTTGCTTTTATTGAATCATGTAATGCTTGGTTATAATCTTCACTGACATACATACATGTTCACCTGTATTTGGCAGTTCAACGATATGATCAATGTCCCTCTGCAGTCGGAAGCTTTTGTCGCAGGATGTGTGGCATATTTCCTGGACAACACACTGCACCGAAAAGATAGTTCAGTTAGGAAAGACAGGGGTAAGAATTGGTGGGACAAGTTCCGGTCGTTCAAGAGCGATTCAAGGAGTGAAGAGTTTTATTCTCTACCATTCAATCTAAACAAGTATTTTCCATCTGTATGAAGCTCTTGGTTGTGAGTTTTAAGCTTATGGTGTAATGATCCATCCATCCCAAGTTTTCAATAACTCATCTTTTTCTCACTCTTAGCGAATATATAATATAATCTTTTCCTAAATAGGATGCGGGTGTAGTACATTTATTTCGTTATATTCCTTGCTGTAAATCCAACTGGGGTTGTGAATTAAAGTTAGCATTGAAGCAGTTTGTGTGCTCTCAAATTTCATTTTATTTTTTTAAATTCCTTCTGTTTTTATATGCTTGCTTTATTAGTCTCATTTTAGCTAGAAATTTGACTTTGTCCGTCCACATTATTTACTATGTTACGTAACATAACCAAATAAAATTCTTGTGGACCAAATCATTTCCCATTGTGACATCATAGCACTATTGTTACAAAATACTTCCATGTAGTTTGCTTTGACTTGGGCAAAATATCCACAAGTGCCATTGGCTGATTCACAACTTGAGCCAGCAAATTCCAAGAAAATTCAAGGGCTTGCATTGCATGGGTTGGACCTTTCATAAAGCGACTGATATTGGGTACAACTCATAAAAAGTAGTTTACTTTTTTAGATGGGCCCTTGGGTTAAGGTAAAAAATGGTATTGTTGGGAAGATTATTATGTTCAAAATCTTTTATTTATTTATTTAATACAAATCACATTGGGAAACGAGACTTTTCCGCAACTGCCGGGTATCATGGGTTTGAAACATGTACCAAGTTGCTATGGGGATTTAAACCTAAGACCATTTGTCGGTAAATCAAAGTCATTTTCCAATTGGGCTAAATCCCCATTGGCAAATCTTGTGTAATTTTTATCTGCAAACCCATGGAATAACACTTTGTGGTCCATTCCCCCAAGTTGGAGTATTTGGATTCCCTAATATCATTGATGTAGCTGTACTTTGGATTTGGAAGGATTTTGAGATCCATGTCACAAATATCGTTATTAAGTCATTGGTGAGACCCACTATCGTGTGGTTGATCCACAATTTCTTTAAAAGCCCAAATTAGGGCAGACCCACTTGAAAATTTGTTCAATCATTCAGCAGCTTATAGCAAAAGGTATCTGTTCATTTGGAGATTCTTTGATTCTAAAACTACCAGCTTGTACCACATGTCCCTTATTATTCGTTGAAAATTTATTCTCACTATCGAACAACTTCCTCAAGCAAGACAAATTATTTGAAAATTATTAAAATACTCGAAATTTTTTGATAGATACATTGAATACATAAGTTCACCAATAACGTCACAGAATTTAATCTATTCAAATATAAAGTATGTTGTAAATATTACGAACAAGTAATAGATTGACACATTATTTAGTGAGTAAATTTAGTCAATTCAGCATCATTGTGTCCAATGTGATGGTGAAATGTGATGAAGTAGACAACCATAATTTCATTTGATAATCTGAGTGTGGGAGCCATCCCACTCTTCAATCCTTTAGGTACGGAAGAAAGAGGAGATGTGTCTTACTCGAAGACACAATTCACCCTTATTTTAGCACTTACGTTTAACAAATAATTAAAATAAAATAAACCAAGAGCAAACTACTTAAAATACTGGTGGATGATTTTATTAGATATCTTCTTCGGCTTTTGGTCACAGATTAGGGTACATGAGATGGAAGAAAACAAAAACCAGCCCATGAATCAAATCCCCCCCAACATCCTATTTGCTGTTTGGTGTGGAAGACTTGCAGATACACCCTTTTATTGCTAATGAAATGAGAATGCATGGGGCCCTATGAAAGAAACAAAAACCTACCTCCATCTGATTACCAAAAAAAAATTCCCAGAAATTCTGATTTCCTGCTGTTTGGTAGAGGTCTGATTAGGACCTACAAATATTACTGTTACATTCATTATCCACCCACTTCAATTCATGAAAAGGAGGAGGAGAAGGATTCCATCCATTAGGTTTTTTTTTTTTTTTTTTTTTTTTTTTTTTTGGGGGGGGGGGGGGGGGTGAGTTGTGGTGTACATGAATAAAATGCGCAAAGAATTGAAAGAGTACGATAGATTTGGGAATGGCCATGTATTCTGTAGATAAGTCAGAAAGGGTCATATTCTTTCATTTAATGTTACATGGTTCTGGTCTCCAAATTTTAATTAGGGTTTTGGGTAACCCCGATTTGTTGGATGGATTCTATTGTGATTTACATTTTTAGTAGGCCTACGTATTGCTTTGAAGAAGGTGAGAGGTCGAATTTTTGCCTTAGATGCGAAGTAAATGTTCTACTATCTTTTTTTTATTAAGATCTTTCTTATCGAGAGAGTTGCGATAGTATATTAAACTCAAACATAATACACGGATGTTAGGACTCGAATCTATAACATTACCTAAGTGAGTAATTACTCTAAACTACCACACTAATGAGTCCTGTGCAATGTTCTACTATCTAGAATATAAGAACCGGTCATCTTGACGACACTTTCTGCAATAGTATAAAGAGTAAAGCTTGGGAAAAAAAACACTGAGATTAGCAAATCAATAAGATATTAATGAGATTGGAAGATCTAGCTACAAGAGTCAAAGTTGCATGATCGTGAATGATTACTGTGGTTCCCCTTCAATTGGACCTAAAATATGTGGCTTTTCCCATGTAGATGTCCAAGTTTTAATGAATTGCTTGCTGGATTTGCTGGCCTTCACCACTAAACTTATGCTTGTTAATTGCAATCAGAGTAAACTCTTCTTGTCTTCTTGACGACACATGTGTAGTACTTCAAGATTTTGAAGTGTACAATTTGCCACGTGATATCATCTTGATCTCACATGAGATGGTCAAGCATCTGGGAGATATTCTAAACAAATATGTAAAATAAGAAAGTGTAAGAGTAACTTACATCAACAAAATAATTATATATTTTGGACTTGAAGATGTGCAAAAATTTAGTATTTTTCATAACCAAATCAATAGTCGAAATATGTAAAATTTATAGCTTTAGTAATAGAACATTTATCTTTATAGTGACGACCATAATTTCGTTTTTCTTTTGCTTTACAAATTGATTTTGTGTATAGTTTGTGAATATATTTTGGTATTAAAATAGTATTTTTTTGGAGATATGAGGGCCATATGAATTGGTAATTTCGAAGACAGAAAATCTGATAAGAGTAGTGGCTCCACTACTTTGATTTGATCTAGTCGTATCACACTTTTGTTTGCTCCTCATTCCAACAACCGAGCATGGAAACCTTAGAGTGGCCCCCTACCCAATTGCAATGATCTGCAATAGGTCAAGCATGGAATGATATTTGAACACAATAATTTCCCATTACCACTCATATTCATCATACACTATAGTCAGCCCTAAGTCCTAAAAGCTTCAAATAATGCACGTCACAATCGTATTACAAGGTAAAAGAAGCCGTCCCCTTAATTTTAATCATTCATGAATGGAAATAACTGAACCAAATCAATCACTAATAGTTATTTGCACCGCACAATGCCTACATTGAGTCTGAAGTTTAAATCGGACCAAATCGGACCGCGACCGCCCTTTCGGATGAGCACGAGATTTGTTTTATAATGTAAAGAAAAACGGAGGTTGCTTTGGGTGGCCGCTATGGAAAGAATTGAAAAGGGAAGAAACAGAAAGCAAAAAACCCAGTGGTTCGGCTATCACTTTTCGAAGCCCCTTCCTTCTGCAAAACGCAAGAACGTAACGTAAATCAGAGAATGACCGAAGCTAAGAAAGATTGCTCACATGCGACACGTACTTACATAACGTGTTCAAAAGCTGAGGCCTTCGAAACTGTATTTAAGTACAAATAGCATGAGCTGGGGCCCACCTCAAACAAAACGCACAGCTTCCTCGCGTTTTCCTCTCTGTGTTTTTCCGTAACCCCAAAAACTGAAAACGAAAACGTAAACACGCGTTCTCGCTCCGGTCTTGTTTGGTGGGCAATGCGAGGGAACAATGGAGGAGAGAGAGAGAGAGAGAGAGAGAGAGAGAGAGATGTATCATATATTGGATGGATATATGCTCTCTTCAATTCAATGTCGTCTTTTTCATTTGTGGTCCTTTGTCTAGAATAGAATGTATTATATATTTATATGGGGCCATGCCATATAGCTTTTCAATTTGCCAATAAGTTACGAAATTGAAAAGTCGCAATTTTGGTTGGTCTAGTTGGTTGTTTTGTGGTGCCAGCCACACGTGCATTTAATTAATTAAAATTATACCATATTTACTGATTTTTTCATGTGGAGGTGGTCAGTCAGAAAAACTTATTTGTAACGGGATAAAACTGTTTTGGTATATTATATCAATAATACAATGATACGTGAAAAAGTTATTTTATATATTGTTGGCCGAAAATAGCAGAAAATGTTATCCCGTTGTGTTGAAAGTTTTTGTCAAGATGAGGGACACAAATACATAGTTTTTATGCAAATTTAAAGAGATATCATATGTTCTATTTAATGTTGATGTGGTGACGTGGTACCAACGTACAGTCGTCTTACATAAATTAACGTTTAACTCGCGAACGTTAGACGACTTGTCGCAAATGTAACGCATCTAATTAAGAAATGGGTTAGCAACAACCCGCATGTTATACAACCACGAGGACTCCCTAAACTCTCTCTGTCCAGCCAACCAATCACTCCTCGACACATCATCAAGCATTGGATAATCATGCCCACAGTCTTCCCACAAAATTACCAAGATACCCCTCCTCAGGCTTGATTATTCTTTTGAACCATAATTACTGAAGTACTAGAAGCCTGCAGAGAGAGAGAGAGATATGGACAAGTAAAGGATGAGAAGTGGGGATATTGGTGGTTATAAAGAGCTTGTTGCATAGCTCAAACCCCCTCCTCTTCCCCTACCTTCCTCCCTCCCTCTCCTGCCATTTCTTCAGCTTTCATTGTCTGTCTCTGTGTTGGAGAGAGAGAGAGGGAGATAATGGGAAATTGTCAAGCAATTGATGCAGCAACTTTGGTTATACAACATCCAAGTGGGAAAGAAGAGAAATTTTATTGGTCTGTGAGTGCAAGTGAGATCATGAAGGCCAATCCTGGCCACTATGTTGCTCTACTCATCTCCACCACCTTGTGCCCCTCCAATCCCAACAACAATGGCGATCAAAAAGACAAGAATTTGAACCAGAAAGACAACAATAACAACAACAGCACTTCAGTTCGCTTGACACGCATAAAGCTTCTCAGGCCAACTGATACTCTTGTTCTTGGCCAAGTTTA